TCAGCCAGTGGAAGCAACGTGTAGAGGAACTTGAGGAGAAAGAAAAGACTGCCAATGAAAATGTGAGTATTACCATTATATCCTCTTGTGAAGTGCTATATATTGTGGTAAAAGAGTCTTCTTTTGTATGTAAGCTCGAGTGGGAATTCATGAGACCTTCATCCTTTTTAATAGAGGAGTTATTATTAACAGAAATTGTCTAATACAGGTTGAAGGGCTTCTGTTAGATATTGCTGCCGCTGAAGAAGAAATTTCCAGGTGGAAAACAGCAGCACAGCAAGAAGCTGACACAGGGAAAGCTGTTGAACAAAAATATATGGGACAGGCATGCTTACGATTCGTTAAATTTAACCTCTTTTGTCTCACTTTTGATTGGTTCACTGCTCCAAAAATATGCCGAATACTCTGTAAAAGTCATACTTGTAGTTGGCATCTGAAGTGCAGAATCTCTAGCGTGATTGTTCTGATAAAGTTTGTTGGGAAATGGTCCAATGTTTAGACTATTGATTATTTTAATAATTATTAGACTATTGATTATGTGATTGATTATTTTAATAATTATCAATGATATGTGATTGATTATTGTTATAATCAATTAATAATTAGGCAAGGTAAAGAATGTGAAATTGAAAACAGTTGGGAAAAAATTAATCAGTTGAAAAATAAGCGTAAGATTCAATGTTCCAACTTTATAAAAAAAGCAACTAAAGTTGTATGATAAAAAGTTTTCTCTAAAAAGCATGTGTGTTTCCCGAACATAAGCAAATTTTGAAAAAACAGTTCAAATTTCTAAAATCAGCTGAAATTGTACTCTCCCAGACAAGCTCTCAATCTACTACGTATCGTGCAGAATTTTAATGTATTTCATTATCTTGCAGTTGTCTGCTGCTCGTCAGGAAGTTGATGAGGCAAAGCAGGCTGCTATAGAGTCTGAGAATAAGCTAAAGTTCAAAGAAGAAACCGCAGCTGCTGCAATGGCTGCGAGAGATGCAGCCATAAAGTCATTAGAGCTGGCGGATTTAAGGGCATCAAGGCTGAGGGAGAGAGTGGAGGAGCTCACACGTCAGCTTGAAGAGTTGGATTCCCGAGGGACCTTCACTTCTGGCCTAACAAGACCTAGATACATGTGTTGGCCATGGCAATGGCTAGGCATTGATTTTGTAGGTTCTAGACCTGCTGAAACACGTGAAGATAGTGCGAATGAAATGGAGCTTTCTGAACCCCTCCTATGATTCTTTATCATAATCCTCATTCTATTGCCTCTATTTTATTCTGTGTATATTAATATACTTTGTATGAATCTCTCTCATATGTGAAAGCCAGGAAATTGAAGATTTGATCTGCAGCCTTAACCAAGTTTCAGCTGTCTTGTGATACCTATTGTATACATTTTCTTATATCTCATCTTGTGTTAATCTGCATACTTTGCATGTATTTATTTGAAATGCAGTTTCTCCGTATTTTATACTTTATTTCGTGCCATTATGTTTGCCCCTTTACTTTTTACACCTTCTCTAGACATGAATGGATGATGAAAAAAAAAGTAAGGAAGAAAAAAAAGAAAAAAAAAATGGATGATGAAGGATCCGTACAAACCACACATTCCTTAAAAAGAAATGAGAATAATTCTTGGATGACCCAAAAAGATAAACAAGAAGAATGGGAGTACATAATGTGTAATACAGTAATAGTCTTGTCTAAAATAGGATTGGTAAAATAGTTCAAGATCAAAATAGGGTGGCCTTAATTTCTTTTTTCTTTTGGCTTCTTCCTTGCCAGATCCTTGTTATGAAAGAACGATGGATATAAGAGTCCTACACTTCTAAAAAGACAAAAGTAGAATTGAATTGATTTTGGACAAAAATAGGATTGATTATAAATGAATAGACAAAAATATTCTTGTTATATAATAGAACTAGAACCCGAAATCCCAAATGTGCTCCTTGTTCAATCTGTTCGTTTTCTTCAAAGGTGCAGGCTGCCACCGCCATCCATGGGCAAACATTTTTTCATCGTCATTCCAAGCTATTCACACTTTTTCTACATTTTTTACAAATTGAGTAGCAAAATTGACCATGTGGGTCAAATAGATTCATTTTATTCACTTAATTAGGGTATCAATTCTTAATTAAATTTTAATTTAGATTTTGCAACGTTAATGTAGTTTCTGAATATGTAAAATATTATTATTAAAATTGAATTAATTATCAATATAGATGATTAAACTTTAACATTGATTGACAAAAATATGTTGACTTTTCAAAACAATTTGGGACGAAGGTAATAATACTAATACCTTTCGAATAAGATGAATATACATATCAAAGACTTTGAACTAACAACTATCATGTACTTTTTAAATGTATTGAGAAGTGCACTATTATAACATATTTTCAAAAATTGTACATCAACACTTTTTAAAATAAAATGCACTTCTATAATGTGCATTTTAAATATATTCAAAAGTGCACTACTACATCACACTTTCTAAAATTCTACACGCATAAACACTCTTTGTAAAATAAAATACACATTTTCTTCCAAATGCATCATAATTGGTTGACTATCGTGATGTCTTCTTATCACACTCCACATATGCTGCTTTAAAAGCCTGTTATTGGAGACAACATATATCCTTCATGCCATTTAGATGATTCATTTTGCTACGTTCTTTTCTTGATAAATTTATTGAAGTGCAGTCGGAATCCGAAAAAGTGCAGCATATATTTGGTGTTAGTGCAAATTGTAAAACAGTTGTAGAGCATAATAACAAAGTGATGATGCATTAAATAATTTCTATCAGTGCATGAACAAAACATGATAAGTGCATTAAAGTATGAATCAATAATCAATAATCCAGCTCAGCTGATCGCCAACTCACTCTCCCTTATGGGAGGTCCCGGGTTCAATTCTCAATGGAGTGAGATTGGTCACAGTTTACCCCAGGCCCCCCAAACCTCCTCCCCCGATGCCCCCTGGGGTTAAAAAAGGGAGTATGAGTGCAGATTTTAACAATCCAGGTGTAGTATATTAATTAATTAATAACATTATTGTGCATCTGTTAATCCATATTAGTGCAATTGCATGTGATTTAAAATGCATTGAAATATATCAGGCAAAATAAGTTTTAACATCTGATTTTTTTGCATGAAACTTAATAAAACGTGAGATGAAAGAACGGTGAAGAAAATCAAGAAATACATGCAAGTTGTTCAGTTTGTCTGGTGAAGAAACGGTAAAGAGGAGATATGGAAATGGAGATAATATCAGGAAGTGCTAAAAGTTAGGAAAATGGTTAATATTAGGATATGACGTAGAAGGAAATCATCTTAAAGTTACTGATTTAGCCTTACAATTTAATGGCTTAGAATCATTCTTATTTCTCTCATTAGATCATATTCTCACATGATCCCTATCATATACTCCCTACGTATTTTTTTGTTTACTACATTAGGTGTTGGCACATGTTTTAAGAGTGAAATAGTAGGAGTAATGAATAGGGTAGAAAAAGGAGAGATGGTGGAAAAGTATCAAAGAGAGGATAAAAAGTAGAAAAAGTAAAGGTGATTGAGTATTTTTAAGGGAAAAAGTGCAAATAAGCTCGTGTACTAACAAAAAAGGTCAAATAAGCCCTTATTTAGGAGGCTTTGTACGGCTGTCGCCATTTGGGCTAGTTCCAGGTGGAATTTTTTGATGAATTTTTTTGAACATGTTCTTCATGAAGTCGAGTTTATCCATACCAAATTTCAGCTAAAAATTCAATCGGGAAGGCACTCAAATAATTTCTTGAAGTTAACTGGGCAGTTCATACATATAAACTGCCCAGTTAACTTCACAAAATTATTCGAATGCCTACCCGATCGAATTTTGAGCTGAAATTTGGTATGGATAAACTAGACTTCATGAAGAACATGCTCAAAAAATTGCATCAAAAAATTCCATCGGGAAGTTCCCGAAATGCCCTCGGCCGGACGGCGGTTTCCGTCAGGCCGGCTGGACAAGAACACTCTCTCTCTCTCTCTCTCTCTCTCTCTCTCTATATATATATATATATATATATATATATATATATATATATATATATAGGGGAAAGATCAAGTACAAACTGTGCTTATTGTGCAAATGTTTGTATGATGCACCTTGACGTTATTTGCATTGCATATTGAGGTTCAAAGTGTTGCATATTATATAGTCACAAAATAGCAGTTGCACATTAACGTTCAACGAGTTGCACCCTAGAAAAGTTAGGTTTTATTACAAAAATGCCACCTTGCCTTTATATCATTTAGATCAACTAATCGGATGGTCAAGATAAGTTTGTACTTTGTAAATTAAGCATAGTTTGTATTTGATCTCTATTATATATATATATATAACCAATGACAATATTACATTTGAGTTTAATCTTGCTTCTAGTAAAAATTTAATTTAATTTTCAATAATATTGTTCATAAAACATAATACAGAGTAGAAATATTTGAACACTACATAGTACATACTCTTCAAATTCTTTATTCGCTTTCATTCCTTATCCATATTTTATTTATATTCATTTTTATTCATTACAATAAAGATTTTAAAGTAGTTTTACTAATACTACATTAAATATTCATACAAATTACGTAGAATATTGAATATTTAAAACAGATACTTACTTAGGTAGTATTTCTATTATATTTTATGAAAAATATTAAATATTAAATAGAAAATGATTAAACTCAAATATAATATTATTAATTTTTATACATATTTTTGCTTTGATATGTTCAAAATTAAAAAAAAATGAAAAAGTTAAAACCATTAGCACTCAGGTTATTTTTATGAAACAATTGAATAGTAGAGATTATTTTTGTGAAATTTATAAATATGGATTGTTTTGTAAAATGTGTAAAAGTAGGGATTATTAGTGTCAATTTCGCCTTATTCTATTAGATACACCACATGTAGACATGTAGTTGTAGACACTACAATTACACATGTCGTCACAAGTCACAACATTGTTATTGTAATGCATTTAAATGCATTATTTATTCCCTCACTAGCACAAGAGCATTTACATCACCATGTATCATGTATGCATAGAAGTGAACACGGTCCGTCAGTTACAGGATGTATGCATAGGACTATAGGAGTATTTTCTATGTTGCGCTTGCACTTATTCGTGTACAAATGTTTGAACATATTTACGAAGCATGGAATAAGTTTGTCAAACTCGAACACACAACTGACATCCCCAATGACTAACAAAGTTATACCAATCCTTTCAAAAAAAAAACAAAGTTATACCCAGCTGACCATCTTTTAAATCCATATGATGAGGTCATGAGGACTATCCATAATCCATCCCTGCATAGTGCATATATTGTTTTGCAGCAGAGTTCATGCAGGACCTATGGGCTATGGGCTATGGGTCATGACTCCCAACGATGATAAGATACTAGTCTGTTTCGCTAGAGCAATAATAGCTTTTAACATTATAGCCTTCAAGGCATAATTTAGTCGATTGAAAAAAGTGAAAGCACCAAAGTTTGATAAAAATGGCCGGTTGAAACAACACTGAAAGGATATGAAGTCATTATTTTAAGAGAGTAAACAAATTAACAATGGATGGCTTTATTCTTCCATGGCATCTTCAACCGCAACTTCCACAGCGTCAATCAATGGTGTAACTTTTTTAAAAAGAACCTCTGTCGATAGATAGAAAAAAAGAACATTAAAATTCCAACTCAATTGAGCGTCCAAGCCGTTAATTGCAGTATGGTATTCAGAGTAAAAAGCAATTAATAAGAAGAGAACACAAACCGATTTTTTTGGGGAACGCATAACCCTTCTGTGGGTATGTTCGGGGATTTGGCAGCTTGTGGTTTCTAATGTATTCTGCGTGCCCCTAAAGAACAAAAGATAAAGAATTTAAGAAAAATTAGGAGCCAAATCCACCTAAGCTAAACCATACCCAAGTGAAAAACCTTAAGGATCTGTTTGGAAAGATGGTTTTGGAGGGGAAGAATTTGGAGGGCTTGGAATATTCCTTGATAAATAGAATGTTTCCAAATGAATTATTGAAATATTGTACGATCACGTATTGTGTTTATCTTTCTTTCAATTTTTATAATCAAATCTCAGATATGTATATTAAGATATACAGTAAACTCTCCAAACCGTCTAACCAAACACACCTTAAAACCTGGTCTCCCATGAGACCATTTAATGATAGGACCACCATACTTCTAACAACATTCATAATGTTTCTTTTTTTACCATGCAAGTAAAAATGTATTACATATTTTGCTTCAAAAGTCTCAAACATCAAAACTTAATCACAATCAGTTCCAAGTAACCGTACCTTGGTGATTACACAAACATCAACATTGCTTCCACTACCCAGATCATTGAAAATTCCAGCCAGTATGGCATCTGTCACCAGTTGGATTCCTTCATCCCTCTGCATTAAAATATTTCGTTCATTGCACAAGAAACCTCCAAATTGTGTCCAAATGCAACTGAATAAATGCAATGCCAAATGTTTACTCACATTTAAACCTTCTCGGTATCTTGACTCAAAAACCGACATTGCTGCAAGGGAACCAGATCCCATTGTAGCAAATGGCAGCGTGTCAGTTGAGCCATGTGGATAAATCTGTAAAACAATTCACTATTAGTTCTTTCTGGTCACACAAGCAAAGATGGCTGGACTAAGATTGTAAAAGTTACTCACTGTATGCAAATGCGGTCCTGTAACATCAACTCCACCAAGAACCAACGCAGCCGAAACATGTCCTTGATAACTTGTTAAATTATACCATGGTTAGACCCCCACCTCTCATAGATAAAATAAAACATAACTTTTCTATAGAAACCTAGTGAAAACTGACAATATGCTTACTTGAAAAGATGAGACTTCAACAATGTAAGTGCTGTGACAACTCTGGATTCACGCCCAGTGTGATATCTGTGCAGCTTCAGCTGGGAGCTGACCATGTCTACAAAATAGCCATTTGCACAAAAGCCATCCCTTAGTTCGGAAATATTGGAGCAGAGGGGTGATGTTTAATTTAATTCATAGTTATAAAGTAATTAAGTATATTGTCAAACACTCCAGGGTCCAAATAATCAGTCTACGGGAAAAGCCCAACAGACCCATCTGTCGTGGATGAGGCACTCAGATGAGGCCAAGGGTAAATCCAGTCTTCGGTATATTCCAGCTAAGTAGTCCACGCGCAATGGGACTGGTTAGACGAACGAGGCCGCAGGGACCTGCTCTCAACTTGGCCTCGTCCCTAGATTCCATACTTAGCCGCATTCGGCTTTCCAGCATTACCTAGCAGGGATTATGCCACTAATCCCACGACATACTCCACTGACATCATCATGCACGGACTTCAGGGCTGACATAACTGTACTGCTTCCAGCATCATGTTTGTCACTAGGCGTGTTACCCAAGATAGCCAAGGGACACATGCCATCTTTGTATTAGCTCTTAGCTAAGCCATCAAGTTACCTACTTACTATGAATACCACCTTACAACTTATGAAGGGGGTTCACATTTTGAGATTTGTATCATCACCCTACCATTTTTAGTACACACTATCTCTCTTGCTTTCTAGACACTTTACTCACCCACTCCACTCTACCCTCAGGTTACATAACTCCTCAGAATGAAAGTTGAAAGTAAAAAATAATATAGGAATATACTCTGTTCATCCCATATTAAGGTTACCATTCACGACGTCCCACATGAATCTTCCCTTTCTCTTTTTGGGAAAAATTTAAGTGTTGAATAATTACTACATCATAACTTCTTAAAATAAACAAACTCATGATAACAACATTATTCATAATTACTCCACCCAATTATTTAGAAGTCTTCCCTAATATATACTGAAATAAATTTATGGATAAAAGTGAGACTAAAATTACTGAATATGTCATCACTCGTTATGATCATTATTATGTAAAGTTAAACATATTAATCACTAACAGTTACTACTGTAGTCACTAAATACAAAATGTCACAATTTGTCTGCTATCTTTATTAGTAGTCATATATTAGTCATTATTTCCAAAATCCAAACACATGCCACCCGCACAGCTGTTTACTCTAACTGTTTACCTTTTTTAAATTTTTTCTCTTCCCTAATACTAAAGGGCATATGATTTAGCTAAGCATAATCTAAGACCATAGTTCTAAAACTCACTAGGTGCTAGTCGGGCGGTTGAGGGGCGTCTAGCGCCTAGGCGGCCGAGTAGGCCGATTTTTTTGGCTGACTAGGCCGACTAGGCCTCTACAGTTAGGGCCACCTAGGCCGCCAAGGCCGATTAATCTGTCCGACTAGGCCGATTTTTAGAACAGTGTCTAAGACTAAGACAGAGATTAATTAGTAAGAAAAACACTCCCTCCCTTCCAAAGTCTCTGAACAAAAAGACCTGACAGACTACATGCCATTGCAGCAAATGATTTTAAGATAAAAATTAGGAAAAGAACGGAAGCTGTACCTGTCACTGCCTCCGTATCTGCAGCAGTCCCTGCTCCACAACAATAAATGTTAGGAGCCATGAAGTGAATCTTTTCACAATTTTTATCAGCAACTATGGGTCCTTCAGTGGCTCGTGTGTCTGCTCCAAGAATGACACCATTCTGAGGACATAATCACCGCCACAAGACTTGTTAATAATCATATTTTGCTTCAGCATGCAAAAAATCAAGATAAATGAGCATCGATCACATGGGGCATTGAAAACACTAAATTACCAGCCAATAAATAATAAATTAATAGCTACGCAAAGAAAAAGGTTATTATAAGGAAAATGATTAGAGGAAACTTTTTTGTAGGGGGCGTGGGGTAGAATAGCAGATTAATGGTCAGCCTTCACAGAGAATTTTGTTCATCCGCTATTCATAACACTTCTCCAACTCAAGGAATAATGTTAATATAATGCAAGAATAAGTTAACATGCAGTTTCTTGGATAACATGCATTTTCTTCATAGCAAGTTCAGCTGTTCAGGGAACAACTAAACCAAGTTTGTCCTTTGGCTTCACTCCACATCATCAATCTATTAGTTTGAAAGAAAATTTTCATCAACCCACATTATAAGGCAATGTTAATGTGGTTGTTTTTTTGCAATGAGATTACAATGTTTAATTACACAGTAAAATATGGTAACACTCAGTGTTCTAAAAGGCACTAGTCGGGAAGTGAATGGCCGCCTGGCGCCTAGCAAGCTGAACTAGAAAACATCACCATTGGCATTATCAGCACAACACATAAACATAACTCACGAGATCAAGTTTATAGCAGAGCATAAAAATGAAATAGGTAATTGTAACTCAAGGAACACTTCATCAAAATACCACTACCCAAAATAGACAAATGACTGAGAATATCAAGTATTTTGGAGCTAGGGATAGTGATGACCTCAAAAACCAATCCAACGATGGTAGTTCCCGTCTTGAGAAAAGAAGGAGGTTGAGCCCCTTTCTTCATCAGCATGGCATTCCTAGTGCATAAATCAAAGCTAAACCCGCCTTTGGCGGGAACATTGATGGAATCCTTAGTCATTGTGATTGCTATTCAACGAAACCCTAATATATGGATCAATCAGAAAGGGAGATCTATCAAAAATTATCACTAAAACATAAATGGAAAGACGTGTAGCTGTCGGAGACTAACCGGAGGAAAGCTACGAGTATTTGTTAGGACTGACTTGATCTGAGAGATGAGAACAAACAGATATCTTATGGGAGGGGCAACTTGAGGGAGAAGAAAAGCGGAGTAAATCGAGGAAATTGTGTAATTTTCATAATTTGAACGGGCAAATAAAAATATATTTTCAGCCGATGGAACAGCCCAAATTTTGTATTGAGCAACTAACAATTTCAGCAAATTCATAATTGGGCTAGTTATACCCGCGGAGGCTTCTATTGTTGCCTATTGAAAAGGGACATTCGAATATGGGATATAATTATAATTATTAGAAATATAAGGACTATTAAATATCTCAAATTTTGAAGATGTGTAGCATATGTATTCCAAACTTGCACATGCAATATATACCAAAATTTTATACAAAAAGTTATGTTATCATGATGATCATATATTTTTCATAAATGTAATTTTATCATGTTAATTACGTAATTTTGAATATACAAAAAAATTATTAAAATGTAATTCATATTAAATTGTACTAAATTTAATATTATTTATTTCAAAAATGAAATAATAGAATGTTAATTTTATTCTAACAAGGCTTAAATTAAGGTATTTTAAATTATCTAATTATTTCAATAAATGTGTATTTATAAAAAACATATAATCATGGTGCGAAAATAACTTTTTATATAACATTTAGGGTACATATAATGTAAATCGCACATGTTTAGGGGTATTTAAATTATACACACGGATACTTTAAATGCATAAAAATAATTTGTGTAGGAGAACATTATTAGGAAACGATTTTAGTTTTTACTTGCATAGGCAGGAGCCAGGAGGAGATTTGTACCGGAAATTTTTAACTTTTCATATGAACAGTTTATAGGGAAGTAGGGAATGGTGAAAGAGTAAAGTTTCAATGGTACAACTCTACACGGATTTCGGGTAGGGGTGGACACGGTGCCGTCTCGGTCTCGATTCCGGTCCGGTCCCGTTTTTGTTCGGAACCCTTTTTAACAATAAATTAAAAATGATTATACACATTAAAAAAGAAATGTATATTTATTAGAAACACTACATTGTGACTTGTATTATTAAGTTATTAACACATTTACAAATTACAATTGGGAATAGTTAAAGTTTAAATTTTAAATACATGAACTAATCGTCTGAGCCACTTCCGGCGTCGGTTGTCGTTTCTTTCATGAAATGGCGGTCCGGTGCTATGTTCACTTCTTGTGTTCTATGGGGGCGGGGGGCTTCAACCAATCACGAAAGCAAACGAGCATCTCACGAGATAAAGCGCTCAACCTCGTCCTATAATCAGTCACAACATTATCGATTTCGTTAAATTCTTGTTCCGTGGTAACGGTTGAAATCAGCATTGACATCACTTATTTGGCCATTTTTATAAAATCGGAAACATCCCTTCGTGGGTCTTCCACCATCGGAGTATGTCAAGTCGTCTCCTTCATATACTCAATGGGAAATGTTACACTCCCTATATTCCATAAAATAGTCCTCACTTTCCATTTTAGGTTGTCCCAAAAAATAGTTCTCATTTCCCTCTATGGAAAGTTTTGCGTGGTTATCATTCATTTCCCCTTTTCTTATTCAACCGCAACCATACATTTCCACTTTATTCCCACTTTCTTAAACTCGGGTCCAAATTGGAGTAGGAACAATTTTATGGGAGAAAGGAAGTAAAAAGTATTTTATGAAGAAGCAGGCGGTTTTGGGGGAGGGAGGTGTGTCACCATATTGTGCATGAGACATACTACCTCCGTCCCACCAAGATTGGGACATGAGAAGGTGACACAATTATTAACAAAAGTGAGTTTGTGTGGTTGATATTAAATTGATAAAGTAAAAATAAAGTAAGAATGATTTAGAGTCACACAAACTTTACCAAATTTGGTATGAGACAATCTTAGTGGGACTTCCCGAAAACGTAAAATGGGACAATCTTAGCGGGATGGAGGGAGTATTATATTATCAACCTTCTCAACCATTCTTGGTGTACACATTTTTATACCCATCAGTACACGCATGTGTCTGTGAGAGTTTTTTTTTGTCTGTGAAGCGCGGTCCACAGACATAAGTTGGCTTGTTTTGTCTGTGGAAAATTTCACAGACAAAACAAACCAGCTTTTGTCTGTGAACCGCACTTCACAGACAAAAAAAAACTCTCACAGACACATGCGTGTACTGATGGGTACAAAAACGTGTACAAAAGGAATTTTTCTTATATTATTAAGCGTGAAATAAAGCAATAGAAAGCGGTGTAGGGGTTTCCTAATGCAAAGCAAACGAATCGTAGAAAGCAGTATAATAGCACACTAAAAAAGTTTTATGATTTGAAAGTTTTAAATGAGGATCAAGACATAAAGCAATAGAATATATATGCAAAATGTAGGCGAAATATTTTTAAAAACTTTTCTATATGTAATCACAAATATAATGAACATAAGTAGCATGGGAGATTTCTTCAAAAGTACCGGTGAGAATAACAGCTTCTATAAAAAATTGGTTACTGGTTGATTTATACACGTGGGAAAAAGTTTGAGTAGCGTTATTAAAATAAGCTAAAATTTTGCACAATCTTCTCCATTGTGTTGACCTCAATCGCTTGTATAGTATAATTACAAGTTTCTTTTATAAAATTAAGGAAATTGTCTTTAAATATATATAAGAAGCACAACAATTAAATTATAAGTATCTTTTGGATAAAAATATCTTTTGGAAAAGCATAGTAGTATATTAATTACTACGTAATAAGTATATAAATGTAATTATAATATGAATATATGAAAGATGAAAGTGTAAATGTGAATAATGTAGAATTAAAGATTGAGAATTTGAGAGTAGAAAGATTGAATAGAAGTAGAATAGAGTGAAAAAAATGAATAAAATGGTTATATATATGGAGAAATGATCCTGTCCAGCAGCCCTCGTCCGAACAGTGTCCGAACATGGCCATTTGGGGCACTTCCCAGTGGAATTTTTTGATGAAAGGTTTTGAGCATATTCCTCATCATAGGGGTGGGAAAAACCGAACCGAAACCCGGAAACCGACCCTGGACCGACCCGAATTATGATCCCGGTCCGGGTTTTTTCTTTTTAACCGGCTTGAATTAAAAAAAAAAACGGACCGAACCGAAAATTCCGGGCTCATTAACGGGCCTTAAAATCTATAACCCAGCCCGGACCGAAAAAACCCGACACAATTAGTTTTAATATAAAATTAATATAGTATATGAATATAAATAAAATATTTCCTAATATATGATTATAATCACGGTGGATAAAAAAATATTTAGTAACTTTTAGTGATTACAAATATGTTGAATTTGTTTAGCGTAATGATGGCCATGAGAGTATATTTATAGCAACTCTAGTAACTTTTTGATTTATAAAATTTATTTCGTAATATTTTTAAGAAACCTATATTATTTATATATATATACATCTTACATAAAATATTAAGATACTTATCTTCTTTAAATTTGAATTATTGGTGATTTTGGAGACTAGTATTTGTGTTATTATTTGCGGTTTGTATTTTTGATTAATTTTATTTGAAAATAAGTTTTAAAATATAAAAGAACAATGACATATTTCACGTCCGGGCTTTAACTGGTCCAACCCGAACCCGGACCGAACCCGGGCTACCAAAAACCCGACTCGGACCGAATATAATGGGCTTTGTTCCGGTCCCTAATTTTCATAACCCGAGACCTTCCGGGTAATTTCCAGGTTTAGCAAAAACCCGACCCAGACCGGACCGATCCCACCCCTTGGCTCATCAAGTCTAGTTTGTTCATACCAAATTTCAGCTCAAAATTCGATCAGGAAGGCATTCAAATCATTTTTTGAAGTTGACTGCGTTTTTATATGTACATTTTGATGCAATCAACTTCAAAAAATGATTTGAAAGACTTCCCGATCGAATTCTGAGCTAAAATTTGGTATGAACAAACTAGACTTGATGAGAAAAATGCTCAAAAAATTTCATCAAAAAATTCCACCGGGAAGTGCCCCAAATGGCCATGTTCGGACACTATTCGGACCGGGGGCTGCTGGACATGATCATTTCTCTCTCTCCCCCCCCCCTCTCTCTCTCTATATATATATATATATATTTTCTATATATATATATATATACATATATATAGAGAGAGAGAGTATATATATATATATATATATATATATATATATATATATATATATAGAGAGAGAGAGAGAGAGAGAGAGAGAGAGAGTAATCTTCCGGTCAGGTATACCTGACCGGAGCCGCCGTCCGGCCTCCTCATTTTGAAGGCCTTCCCGGTGGTATTTTTTGCTCCAATGTTTTGTGTATGTTCCTCATCAAGTCTAGTTCATCCTTACCAAATTTCAGCAAAAAATTCAATCGGGAAGGTCATCAAATGATTTTTGCAAGTTAACTGGTCCGGAAAATACATATTCTGGACCAGTTAACTTGCAAAAATCATTTGACGACCTTCCCGATTGAATTTTTTGCTGAAATTTGGTATGGATGAACTAGACTTGATGAGGAACATACACAAAAAATTTGAGCAAAAAATACCACCGGGAAGGCCCCCAAAAGGAGGAGGCCGGACGGCGGTTCCTGTCAGGTATACCTGACAGGAACGTTTGTGTATATATATATATATATATATATATATATATATATATATATATATATATATATATATAGGGAGCGGTTCCGATAAGAACGCATCTTAGGAGAAAAATGAGAACGAATCTGGACCGTTGGATTGAATTATGTGGAACTGAATTGTGCATTTGATGAAACCGAAATGTGCATTAGATGATATTGAAATATGCATAATAAAAATTTAAACTCACATGTGCATTAGGTGAAACTGAGATGTGCAGAATAAAAGGTACTAAAATAACATCACATCGTACCTTTTATTCTGCACATTTTAGTTTCATTTAGTGCACATTTCAAATCCACCTAATGCACAATTTAGCTTCACATAATGTCACTACATTGTACCATTTGTGCTGCACATTTCAATTCCACCTAATACACATTATAGCTTTATCTAATGCACATTGAATTTCACATAAAGCAAATCTAACGGTCCAGATTCATTCTCATTTTTCTCATAAGATCATGTTCTTATTTGAACCAAAACCTATATATATATATATATATATATACAGAAATGCTCAGGTCCCTCCGGAGGGACGGGAGCAGCCGTCCGAACTTCACTGTTTGGGGAGGTTCCCGGTGGAAGTTTTCGATGAAATTTTTTGAGCATGTTCCTCATCACGTCTAGTTTGTCCATACCAAATTTCAGCTTAAAATTCGACCGGGAAGGCAGTCAAATAATTTCTTGAAGCTTACTGCACATTCTGCGCATATATAAAGTGCAGTAAGTTTCAAGAATTTATTTGACTGCCTTCCTGGTCGAATTTTGAGCTGAAATTTGGTATGAACAAACTAGACTTGATGAGGAACCTGCTCAAAAAATTTCATCGAAAAATTCCACCGGAAACCGCCCCAAACAGTAAAGTTCGGACGGCTGCTCCCGTCCCTCCGGCTGGACCTGAGCAGTCCTCTCTCTCTCTCTCTCTCTCTCTCTCTCTCTCTCTCTCTATATATATATATATATATATATATATATATATATATATATATATATATATATATATATATATATATATATATAGAAAACTCGGCACCCCCACCCCCACCCAACGGCATTATAGCCGTTACTAGCCGTTTGGAATGGCTAGTTTCCGACCCAGTTCCCCTTAATTTACAAAAAACAAACAAACAAATGACCGTTGGGACCGGAACAACCTACACGAGACTCCGCCCAAAACCCGGTCGGGTAACCAGTCCAAGCCCGGGACCAGATAACCGGACAGGGTTCGGTCCCGCACTATACATTACATGGAGATTTGGATTTAGCAACCAAGTAGGGTGCGTGTATATTGTAGTCACAAGATCCAACTTTGGCCGCCCACAATTCTCATCCCCTATTGCAGTTGTCGTTGTGCAAGACACCTTTACCATGCGGCAGAGAATCTAATTCCTTACATGAGTCATGAGTGCATTCATATGGAATACATATTCATTGGATAAATAAACTTAAAAAAATGTGACCATCTAATATGTTATGCATAAATATTTCTCTAAATAACTACGAGTAATTTTAACGCTGACCGTATATATATGAGAAGATGGGGTTAGCAAGGCAAGTAGATGTGCCATGTGGTGGATGGGGAAAAGAGTCGCTACTCACGGAGTCACAGGGTTGCATTAAGGGTAGATAAGTAGATTATGACATCACAATTCTATAAGTGATTGTTTTAATACTAAAAGATTATTCTATTTTGAAGATATTCTAGCTAAATTTAAAAGTAGATATTGGAAATCCTGGAGAGTTACTAAAATGCAACGGTGCAACCTAATTTCTGAAAATTTTAAATATGTTACTCAAGATGTGAGTACTAACAATTTACAATTTACACGTCAAATTAGGCATGGACCGGGGACCACCAACCGGGTCCACCACTATGTCAAATTATACCATCCGCGAATTGTTCCTGCTCATTTATCAATTAAAACAAAACATTGTGTATTAAAATGCAACTTAACTACAACCTAACAAAAGACTTGAGGTTAGATTAGTGATGGACCCGGGCCGGGCCGGGTCCGGGTCAGGCCTAGGCCTGGGCGGGCCGGCGTTCAAGATTGGTGGACCCGGGACCGGCCCGGGTAGCCACCGGGTCCGGTCCGGGGCCGGGCCGGGCCTCCGGTTTGGGTATTTTTTGCATTCCTAACCCCCCCCCCCCCACCCCCCAAACCCCTCCTAACCATCAAGCCCAACCCGGGTGGAACCCCAAAAAATGAAAAAAAAAATCAATTTGGCCCGGACCCGGGCCCGACCCGGCCGGGCCGGTTTGCCAAATGTGAGACCCGAGCCCGGACCCACCCCCCAGACCTAGGCCCGACCCGTACCCGAGAACCGAGCCGGTCCCGGTCCCGCACAGTAGCGGGCCGGTCCCGTCCCGCACAGTAGCGGGCCGGGTGGCCCGACTCGAGTCCACCACTAGGTTAGATGCTATGGGTTCAAATGTTCAATCCTTATATCATCTCTAGGCACCAATAATGTGAAGCTGAAAATGGATAAAGAGCAGCTCTTAGTCAATGCAGAAATTTGCAGGAAACAATAAAAGAAGACTGAAAATGCCAATGGATAAGAAGTGACTACAATAATCTCCCCAGTCCCCACAGAGAAAGAAATAAAGGAAAGTAAAATTCACATTCACAGTTCCAACTAAAGGGCATCATCTGATGTAAAACAAAGGTGATGCCTCAAGGTGCACATAAAAATATAAAATGATAAAACTTTTGTACAACTGATTCTTTGGCTCCAAAGACAGAAATCACAAGAACCATTTCCTAATGAACATTGACATAATTCCGAATGTGATTCTTCTTGAGTCATGAAACTTATTCGTATCAGACACAGATCACCCAATGAATATAAACCCAGGTCAAGGTTATCGCTTTCTTTCTAGTTATTTTGTTCAATAAATCTCATCACAACAACCTCAAAATCCACTTCAATATAATTCTCTCATAATCAAATCCAAACTCTTTTGAATTAACTAACGAGTTCCCCACGCGGCCACGCAACACAAATTCCAAATGTGATTCTTAAAATCAGAATTATAAATATGGAGTACCTTTTTTATAACACCCTTAATATGTGCTTTGGGGTTGGGGGTAAAAATCAAATACATACGGAGTATAACCCCTAGTAAAATAAGCCTTCAAACGATACAAAAATGAAACTTCAAGAGAAAAAAAAAGAATATCTATGGACATCAACCCTCTGGTCAGTGTTACATACTTACATTGGAATTTTACAGTGTGATATTATAATCTAACTACAAAATCCGTGTTTACAAGTTACAAAAAAGGTATGAACTGATTACAACACAAGAGATACAAGTCCTAATATCAGAATCTTATTACATTTCATTTACACATCACTCTTGGTCGTCAGAACAAATTGACAAATACAGATGCAATATGCAACCATGCCCAATAAAGCCGCTCATCAGATAGCTCACTGAGAATGTACTTTCTGTTGGTTGTATCTACCGTCTGGTCATAGACTCATAAGTTCCATGGCAAGAAGGGTATTTATTGTTCCACTATAATGCTACTTGCTTAAATTTACAACACAATATTGAGCATACAACAGTTCAATCTGACTACCCTAGAGCTGAAAAAAAAACTTCAGACGATACACAAAAATCTTACAGGCTGGTAGTACAAAGGCACAAGTTTGGACTTGAACAGTTACATGTACAGGAAACAGTACAAAGAGTCTTCCAGAACAGCTTAAAAATGGAATGTATGGAAGTAGATGGGTAGACACATCCCTATTTTGAGGCAAAGCTTCTCCAATAACAGGCCATATCACGGTTTGTTATCCACAAGTTTTCATGGAGAGGAGGAAACCGTATATATAGATTTACAAGTAAAACAAAATATGGCCATAACACAAGGACTTGTAAGGGAATTCAGCCAAGTTAACTCATCTTCCTCCATGTAACCAACTTATGCGGGTTTAGACATGAAAACAAAGAGTTGCCTCTCTGATCCCTGAATACGGGTAAAAGAAAAATTCTCATGTCAAAATTCATCAAAGGGGATTCACTATTGACATGACACATATATATTTGAAAAGATAAAGGCAAGAGTAACATCCCCAGCTTCAAACAAAAGAATGAGCGGAGGTTAACAGCTTTTATAGACCTTGTAAAAAAAAGCACACATATTTTAACATATACTTGTGCTACCTAGAAGATGCTCCTCATTTACAATAACCCAGAAAAAGATATCTTTGGAGGGGAAGACATTAGAGGGCTTAGTCAATACCTTGATAGAAAGAATGTTTCTGAAAAACAAATATAGAGTGATTGAAATGGTTTATTATTACAGATTATGACATTGCTTCAGTTCTTATTAAAGATATATGTTTGGCCCTCAAACACCCTCCCTTTCAAAACAATCCACGACCAAACTCCCGAACTTGAAACTAAGTATGCTTGCATGCATAATCATCACAATTAAACTGCATTAATCAGACACTTGATTATGTCATATGTGGTCCAGGATGCTTTTACTCCCATTTAGCACAATGCACAGAATACAGACATAAAAATAACAAAACATTTGAACATTTTTGTGAGCGTGTTAAGAAAATGCACTGTCACGAACAAGACCTATCACCTATAAATAGTAAAATACAGAGCCCGAAAATCCACTATAAGGATGCTCGTCCGTAAAAAACCACAAGTTAGTAGGTTAGTAGAACCGTATTCTGGTTTTAACCCATTAGAACTAAACCAGGAAAACCATTACACTACTAGGAACCGAAATCTTATGTGATCCATATAAAAATGGTATATTGATATGAAGCGGGAAGAGCATGGGGCGGGACGGGCTTGAGCCCACCTTCGTGGGCTGGCTACGAGCAATTTAATTAATTTTAATTATTCCTTTTATTTTGTTTCCTAATTTATTTTGTTTCCTAGTATGATTTAATTAGGACTTCTATTAATTAGAGGTTTCCTATTTCTATTTAGTTTCCTTGAATGGTTTAATTAGGACTCCTATTATGTTTCTTACTAGGATTTAGTTTCCTATTCAGTTTTGGATGTAAGGGTTATATAAACCCTTGCCTAGGCTTATTCAAATCAAGCATTAATAATATTGGGTTTAGCTATTTAGCTCTGGGCAACGGATCCAGCCGTTGATTATTTTGGGCAACGGGTTATCCCGTTGATTTTATTTTTTCTGTTCTTATCATATATACTATGACCACTTAGCATAAAAAAATAGAATGGACAAAGGAATGGATCATTAAAATAGCAGATATGAAGATTCAAACTTCACATCATTCACACGAGCATATATCACATTGGGTAAGATATCACACCATCCACAGCATTACCCCCTTTAAGCTAGGCAATAAAAAAATAAAGAGTTCATAAAAAACCTTTTCTTCATGAAGCAAAGGTGAATGCATAAAAAAGCAAATCAAAATACATAACAATATATAACAAGGTTCCAAGTGTCTCAAGTTTCAAAAGTGGCGAAGACTAATGCAGCTCAAAAGAGCTGATGGAACCAGAAATGCCTTAATGACCGATGAAGACTAGCAGCGAGCAACAAAGAGCTCTAAGTCCCAACACACACTATGAAATACCACGGAGACCTAATAAGCTCAGGATCTTAGCACAAATGTAATGTTTTCAACCAATTCAAGTTCATGAATAGAATGAAAGTTAGGCTAAATTCTTACTTCATTAAATTTAGGGAGAAGAACAGCAACCCTTTCAAGCAGTCTGCAGAGGAATGTTGTGAGGATAATATTGTGGACTTGGTTATAGGAGTCCAGCACTCCAACTAAGACATCCTGAAAAACACTTTCCGTAACAGAGTATTTATTTGACAAATACTATGTCACTCGGATGGAAGCCTTTTCCGCTTCCCATAATCAGCATCCCTCGAACGAGAAGATCTATGATCCTCCTCCTGCACAGCTCGGGATCTGCTTCGAGATTTTGAAGAGTGACCTCTGTCATTGTCATAATCCACTTCACGTTCTTTATGGCGGTAATCCCTGTAACCATCTCTTTCTTCCCTGTATCTATGCTCCCTATCATACCTGTCCCTGTCATTATCTACTCTTTCATCACGATTCCTCTTCTCGGAGTTGCCCGACCAGTCACGTTCTGAAGCTCGCTCTTTCTCCCTAGAAGCAGCACTCGACCTTGCCCCCCCTTTGTCATGGCTCGCATCTCCATACCCATATTCAGACGCATTATCTTCACCACCATAACTTGACTCCCTTGTCCTTCTTTCATGCTCTTCCCCTCCTCCCCACCCACCACCTGTGCTTGTATCGGTCCACATTCCTTGATGAGGACCATCCATCCCTGTTGTACCACCCATCATTCCCATCCCACGGCCAAAGAAAGCAGGGTTTACATGAGGAGCCACCCCGGTGAGCCCCATAGGGTTCATAGTAGGAAACGGAGGAAGCATCCCCGGAAAACCAGGGCCTGAAAAGCCTCCATAACCAGCTCCCCGACCCATGTACCCAGGATCAAACCCAGGACCCATCATTCCCTGTGGATGCATGATTCCAGGAGGACCACCAAAACCAGGACCCGCAAGGCCCTGTCCATAAGCTCCAATGCCCATGCCAGCATTGAGTCCAGGTACATTACCACCCATCATATTCTTTGCACCCATACCACCTCTTCCCCTTCCAGGCCCACCACCAGGACCTCTGTTTGGCATTCCCTGCCCCCCACGTCCCCACCCACCTCTACCAAAATTCCTCCCTGTATCTCCACTGGGGAAACTTGCCCCGCTGCCTCTGTTTAGTCCTTCATTCATGGGCCTCCTTCCCTGGTGTGGCTGAGTCTGAACTTGAGTTGGGGTTTTGTTGTTTACAATAGAAGCACCCATCTGCTTTATTGTATGAGGAGTAGCGAATGCCACCACACAAGCTCGTCCATTGAAAATGTGTCCATTCATTCCATCTTTACAGGCAGAAGCAGAAGCAGGATCATAAAATTCTACTTGACAGTAACCTTTGGATTTACCACTTGCTCTTTCATCAAAGAATTTAATCTCTTTCACTTTCCCATATTGAATCAGCACACTCTCAATATCAGCATCAGTTGTCCACCAGTGCAACTCCCCCACAAAAAGCACTGTATTTCCATTCTCCATGGCTGGCCTTATATGGTTTTCATTGATCATAGGGCTGTTCGTGTCAGCAATAGAACTCATTTGATGTGCTGGCATCAAAGGAGCAGCTCTTGAACTACCACCACCACCTGCACCAGAACTCAGCAACGGCAATGACTCATTAGTACCTTTGCCCGACAAATCATGAACAGGGTCAGAACTGGCTCCATGAGGTATTCGAACTGATGATGAGTGAAATGCCATGTTACCACCAACTTGAGCATCACTGGTCATTGATGGAGGCCTTGCCTTTTCAGAAGCAGCAGTTTGATCAGGACCCCTTTCAGCCGTAGACCGGCTCTTTTGCTCAGGAAATCGCAGCCCGGAACTGGGCACACCAGGCTTCATCTCTGGAGAAGTTATAGCATCAACTCTTGGTTCATTAGTATCGTTTTCTGGAACTGGGGATACTCCATTTCCCACGGAATCTGGAGGTTTTGGGGCCTCAAACTGCTGCATCTGAAGAAAACCCTCTCCCACATTAACATCATTATAAAGATCATCATACTCGTCGTCTTCACCCATCATTTCCTCTTCTGCAAGTGCAGGTATAGTTCCACCTACATGATACTGCATCTTTTGGCTTTCTCCATACTCCTCGTCATCAAAATCTAATTGATCATCAGTTGTAGGATCCATTTATGTTAACTAGCAGTGAGGACTATTTATCTCCGCCTATTTGAAATCATTTAAAATTGATAATTAATTTCACATCCTCCTGTGCATTAGTGTCACCGTAAAATTAAGGCAAACCCACGCAGAAAAGAACACCAAAGTACTTCTGAGTTCGCAAAGATATGAGTGTCGAATTGCACCCTTGGAAATAATGCGATTACATATCAAATTTCAGGTGAAGAGAAAATGTAAGATATTACATGTTACAAACTTACAACCAAAGAAATGGACAGATTCTTTCAGATCAAATAAACGTATGAACCAGATCGTACAATTAGGAACAATATCCCCTGTAAAAATCTACAGCTCCCACATCAAGGAAAAATAACACAGGATGTGGGCTACAAAAATCAAGACTCCATTCTTCCAATACATATGTGTCTCCATTCAAATTCAAAAATTGAATTTTTATTCAACAACTAAAGCATCAGAGCTGAAAGGAGATTTGCCAAAAAAATTAACAGACCTCCGATGGATAAATTAGTAAAATGAACAAAAACATACGAAAATTCTAAAGAGAAATAGATTTGACTTAGTTCTAGGTTTATCCTTGCGATGAAATACATGAAAATGATCGAACATCAGTAAAGTTGCAGTAGTTTCTCTTACGCTTCTTCTCTTTCCCTCCAGCAGCCGAAAGTCAGCTCCTTTCTCCTCGTCTAGCTAACCTTTCTTTCGATTCGTACAATCGCTGGTCAAGTAAAATTATTTTGTATTTCCAATTTATCTGGGGAGGAATATAGTAAATGATAGATTTATGGGACAATGGAAATAGACAAAAACATGCGTAGAATGATTGATTGTTACTCCTGTTATGGTTTTTTTAAACAAATATATGTAGTTATAAGAAATAGAAAGCAATTGTTACTCCTATGAATCCTTTCAACTCACAAACTCTATTGTAATGCAGTCTAGTTTATCGATCTTAATGCAATTGCTATTCTAAAAAAAATAATACCGAGTAAAACATTACAAATACAAATAATTGTTTAGTGTGAGAGAAAAGGATAATTGATTTGACCAATAGCCAATAAAAGGAACTCAATCGAACAAAAAGTGGAGTGAGATGGTGGCTCAGGAGAAGGGAAAGTAATACACCCCTCGACTGGTTACACCAATGACGAATACACAGTCTCTAGACATTAATAGGAGACGCACATATCTAACACTCATCTGAAACGGACAAAACTTTCGGTCGAAGAAGAAATCAAATCAAGACCCTAGAATGTAGAAATAAAAAAGAGTGAAAGCATAGAAAAACATTTGATTCATTATTGCACAGAGAATGTAGTCATCATTGAAAACTCTTGACAATCGGAGAGGTGAAGACTAGGAGATCTGATTGCCCGGGAGCTCGCCGCCTAGGGCCGGCTCTCGCTCCTCGAGAAAATAAGGAACATTAATATTCCTCGTTTCTTTATTCACCTTGGCGGGGTTGAAGCGCCATTAATATTATTGTCTAGAGATGTTGTCATCAATATATTTCTCAAGATATTGGGTTGAAGCGCTTCAAGGTTCAAACAACTACTCTATGACTTGTTTACATGTTTAAAAAACTTTGTGGTGATAGGTGGCGAAATCACTAATGATTTACGAGGAACGAAACTTAAATAAATACAGAATAAAAAGGTGATCATTTTTAAACAACACACGAATTGAATGTTTAATATGTAGCATTGTAGCTTAGATAAATAGTTTTAAATGAGACTAGTAAAGTTATAATTTTGGTATATACGTATAACATATACATTATAAACTTCACACAAAGAATGAATGAATTAGATGTATTTTTTAAAAATTTGACAATATAAACAACAGTACACATCAAAGTTTACTAATTTCAAGTTGCAAAAAAAATTTTACTAATTTCAAATATAGATAATTGTGATATTCAAATAGTCTTAATTTTTACGTGTATTTTGACGTTTTGCTAGATTACCGGACTAAGCTTGCCTGTTGTTTTTGTTTTTGTTATTTTTTAAATTGCAACCTTTAAATTCACTTAACCAAATAGTCATTCAATATGGTCCAATGTTAATGGTCTGATCCATTGCTATATCAAGAGCGTTTTAAAAAAAATGTTGTTGTGCTCTGATAGTTTGATTGACTAAACCAGTCTCACCATTTTCTCAAATGGTTAACCGGGACTAAAACAGTCAAGGGAAAACGTCCAAGATGGTAAAATGGTGTACCATTTTGTTCAAAGAGTCCTCCTTGGGGTACCCCAATTTGTACCCCAATCTGTATACCGTCTGTGTACACAGACATTTGGACAGAAAGTCATGCCCTCTTTCAAACGAATGACCTGTGTACACAGGCAATTCAGGGGGTGGATACAAAATGAGGTACATTTTGGCCTATTTGGGGTACCTATAGAATTTTTGTTGTTCAAAATAAGCTATACATTTTTTGAAAATAATACATAATGGTCACAAAGCAACGGTTATAACTTATAAGTTATCTTCACAGTAAAAAAGATCAACTATTCTTGTTGATTCTATATTATCTTATAGGGAGTATAATTGATTTGGAGTGCTCTAAACATTATAAATACCTCAGTACTCTAATATATGGAAATACATACAAAAGAGTTAAAATGTTCTCTTTTGTACATATTTCCATTAACATCAGGGTTGGAGCAGGGTAGGACAGATGGTAGGAAAGGGATAGGGGGCTATGATCACTTGGTCAGTGACCGGAAGATCAGTCACAGACTCACGGAAGTCATTGGATGCTGGGGGTAGCCAGTCATTTAGGTCATTGGAGACATCGAGCAATCACTATGGCATCAAAGTTATGTTACTGGTAGTGGTCACTATCGGGCGGTGATCACTGAACAGCAGTGGTCACTGACCGGTAGTCATGGACCGGGCCCGATTCGGGCCTAGGCCCGGCTAGGCTTTTGAGGGTTGAGGGAAGGCCCGGAACCGGCCCGGGTTTCCACTGGGTACGAGCCGGGCCTCAGGCCGGTTCAATTTTTTTTTTTTGCTTTTCTAACTACCCCTGATAGGGATGGACTGGGCCGGGCCGAACCGGCCCGGAACCGGACCGGCCCGCTACTGTGCGGGCCCGAACCGGACCGGGCCCGGTTGGCCGGTTCCGGGCTTTTAGCCCGTTTTGGCGGGTCGGGCGGGCCGGTTCCGGGCCCTGTTTTTGTTGAACCGGCCCGGGCGGTTCGGGCCGGGCCCGGTTCATTTTTTTTTTTTTTTTTGGTTTTTTCAATTTTTTTTCTTTTCCTAGGGTAGGGCTGGGTGTTTTAGGGAGGTTTGGGGCGTGGGGGTGAGGGGGGGGGTAGGGAGATAACAAGAAAGTCAAAAAAAAAAAAAAAAATAAAAACATTGAACCGGGCCCGGCCCGGCCCGGCCCGGTTAGGCCCGGACCCGGTATCAACCCGGGCCGGTTCCGGGCCCATGTAACCCGAAAAAAAGCCCGCCCGGGCCCGGCCCGGAACCGGAACCGGCCCGGCCCGGGTCCATCCCTAACCCCTGACCCTCCCCCCCCCCCTAAACCCCCCAAAACACCCCGCCCCCACCCAGTGGAGACCAAAAAAATGAAGGAAAAAAAATTAGGCCCAAACCGGACCCGGAACCGGCCGGGCCGGTTTGCATTTCCCGTAGCCCGTACCCGCCCCGGTTACCCCCACAAACCGGACCTAGACCCGGAACCGGTTCCCGGTCCGGGCCCGCACAGTACCGGGCCGGGTGGCCCGCACCGAGTCCAAGCCTACTGACCGGCATTGATAAGTGGCATTGGCTGATCCAATAATAGTTTATAGCGACATCAAATGTTTGATTTTATCTCCTGAGAACAGGTTATTACTTAAGCTGGTCATTGACTCGTATTTGAACTCAATGCAATGCTATTATGCTAATACCATTTGAACCAGTTGAAAGGATGAAAGTCAGTCTACAAGAGCCAAATATACCATAGGACTAAATTAGATCCAAATTACATGTTCGAAGATCAAATTATTTAAAGGAGATTTGAGTACTGAATTGAGTAATAGTGTATCATCAAGACGTTAAAGGCTAAAATGTGCTATAACTAAATCTAAATAAACAAAACTTGTAGTAATTGGGTATACTGCACAAAATTCACATTGATATCCCAAGATTTAGTTGAAGGATCAAAGTGCATTTCATATCACTGGTCCGAAATTCATCAGCTACATATTGCATCAGTAATCCAGCACTCTAACTGAAACACAAAATAAACTTCTGTCTGCAAAGCTTTCGTGAGAAAATGACTACTCATTTCTCTGTTGATACACACAAGCGCAGAGGAGAGGTATCACGTTGCATTGCACTTTTTGAAGAGACCAAAACCACGACTCTATACCTCTATAAGAATATAAATCATTTAAAAGAAAAACCAGTATTATCTTACTCTAAAACATTTTTTCTTTTCAGGGAGCTTCCATGAAAGGAGGGGTTTCTGTTACGGCAAGAACCAACTAGTGACTAGTCTCCCTTCTAGTATCTACACCACCTTTAACCAGCCGGCAGCATAAAGAAGACAGCTCCCGATTGAGAATTCAAAGAAACCAACTCTCATGTGAATATAAGAGACCAAAGTATTATCAATACATTCCCTTGAATACAGGGTTTGTGCGGCATATGCTGGCTCCATACTCGTCGTACTCTGCCTTTGTATGGCAAGCCTGCAGTAGTAAACAAGATGCTTATAGGCTATAGCTAGTTCATACCAGCGCAGATGGAGAACTGAAATGCGGGACTATGCACATAAGCATCACCTAAATGCAAGAGTCTTCATAAATAGTTTCTCTGACATTACAAACCGAAATGAATGACACCATCTTCAACTATTTATTGATTTAGCAAAATTTTTAAAAACCAACATGTACCTAAAGTATACACCATATATTTTAAAAACCAACATGTACCCATGACTTTAGGGACTAAGAATGTGCTTGGGAAATTGCAAGAACAGAATCCAGATTAGGATCAACCATGGGTGAGCAACGAATGGCATATATAGATCGGAACATGTTAGGAATTGGGCCTAATAGACTTTAGGAATTTGGGCCTATTAGACCAAGAAAAATAATAAGTGTAATAGACTAGTATAAATAGAATAAACGAGGAAAAGTGAGGAGGCTGTTTTTGACTATTGTAGTCTGGACTGGGAAAGTTAGAGATTAATTGTCTCTTTCTTTTGGGGGGCTTCGGCCAGAACTTTCTTCATCAATACAGTTTACAGTTCTTGTTCTTGATATTTCTTGATAATTTTCTGTAAATCCTCTCACTACCTGGATAGTTCTAACAGTGGTATCAGAGCACGACGATCTCTGGATGAGATATACTCGTGCTAAGATGGACGGAAGAATGACAGACATGGAGAGAAACTTTACTGATATGGCCAGGAATCAGAGAGAATCAGCGGCAAGGCAAGATACACTGGAGACGATGATGGTAGCTATGCAGGCGAGTCTCGCGGATATCCAAAGTCGCCTTCCAGATCGTGCGCGAAGTAGGTCGCAGGCCTCCTCAGCTTCGCATCGCACTTCTCACCGTCATCGATCACGCCATTCAGAGAATGATGACGTATCGGAGGGAGACTCAGATCATTCATCACACCGTAATCACAGACATCACAGGGAACACCATCCTCGTAGCCGAACAGGAAGGAAGATCGATTTGCCATTGTTTAATGGAGATGATGCCTACGGTTGGTTGGTTAGAATAGACAGATATTTTCGTCTCAATCAGATTGAGGAAGACGAGAAGTTGGATGTTGCG